CAATGGATTATCACCTTCAGTGTCCGAGCACAGCTATCAAATGATATTCGACAGATGGTAGGAATGACACGCAGTGGGTCAAAATTTCATGACGACAGAAGCTCCCAGAGAATGAAACGAGACGAAACTGATGTCAATAAGTTTGAAAAGCAAATCCAACGGTTCAATCCATTCAACCGTCAAGGAGATGAACTTGTATGCATTTCCGCCAACAATGTTGCTCGTGATGACATCACACAGGATCTATTGACATCTCCAAAACGTGGTACAGAACTGCTAAATGTCTTCGTAGAAAACCGTTTGCTTCCAGTTACCGTAACCCAAACTTAAATGGAAGTGTAAGCATTTTGTATAGTTCTTGAAGCATGAGAAATTATGATATGAGTATTTTCTGGTTCTACCTCGTATATATTTCCTGTCAATTTAATACCATATGTAACTTACATAGGGTGTTTATTAGTGCCTGTAGCTGAATTATAGCGACTGTGAAAACATCTCGAATGGCGTAAACAACGGAACTACTAAAAATGCTCAGAAATCGGCAATGCACACCTTTCCAGAATGAAAATCGACCATTTCTATTCGCCACAGGGCCCCTCTAATGATGTGTGAACGGAATTGACAAAATGGATATCTGGTTCCTAGACTATATGGATCAGGGTATTTGTGAGTTGGTGGAGAAAAGGTCATACTTCTGGTACTGGTTCACTGCGAATACCACTCAAACTTTTCTCTCCTCAGTTCAGATGCACACTTGGGGTTTAGTAGACTGTCATCCTAGTATGATATAAAACTTTCTTTGTACAGCCATTTTCCTTAGACAAATTTATACTTTCTTCTGAGTTTCAAAATGTTTTTGTGTGATTTTATAGACTTGTTTGTGTTGTGTTTGTCAGGTTGTTCTTTCACTCAATAGTTTTGTTTTGTTGAACACTCAGGTTTATATATTGGTAAGAAAAAAGAAACTAACTGGATAATACGTGTGTGTGTGTGTGTGTGTGTGTGTGAGTGTGTGTGTGTGTGTGTGTGTGTGTGTGTCACCACGTACACATACTTTTCAAGGAAGTAGATGAAAATTATCCTCTAAAAAAATTATGCTATTATGTAACTATAAACATATTTGTTTAGCTCCATAAAATTTACTGAATAAAATCTTCATAACTAGTAAGGGATTAATGAATATGTGCAACTAATATAGTCGTAAAAGAACGTCAAACTAGTTCTAAAAGCCACAAAATATTCGAAAAATAAGTTTGAAACAACAAGATATAGATACTCTCTGTAAAAAGAAAAAATGAATCGGTTAGACGGTCGTAACAGGTAAGTGTGTCCCCCCACTGGTGAAAAGGTTCAGACATCCTTGACAAAATTGTCTTGGTACAGAAGTATCGCACGAACAAAAAGGAAACGAGAAATGAAATAACCTCTACTGAGATGGGAAATACAGTACGCTCTAACGATAAAGGAAGTACAGGTATGGATAAAGCCTTTGTGAGAGAGTCGTGTGATGTGTGGGTGAGAAAGAGAGCTGTAACTCACTTCTGTGACGAGCTAATATTATGATTTCACCCGTTTCTGGCTATCCTTCTCACTCGTCTTAATATTTGTACTGATATTTGCCCTCTGTATTTGTCTGTGTTTATAAATGTCTGGCTTTCAGTTTTATGTCTGTTATTTTTTCATTTACTATATGTTACCGTTCACATGTCTCACTGTGTCTGTTTCAATTGTCAGTCTGCCTCTCTGTCTCCATGTCAAGCAGTTCTCTTGTGTCTATTTCTAAGCCATCCTAGCTGTCTGTGTCTGTGGCAAGTTTTCGTCAACTTGTTCCTGTGCCAAGTGTCCCTTTCTCAGCCTTTTTCTGTGCTAACTCTCCAACTCCTTCAGTTAGCATCTGTGCCAATCTGTCTATATGATCACCTCACCTTCAACATTGAAGGCTCGGGAGGGTATTACTAAGGACGGACTTCGTTCTTCCAGACACACCATATATTTTATTTTGTATTTTTTTGCTGGAATCAAAGTATTTTTTTAGTTGACGGAGTAAGGTTGTTAGTAATGAAGCTCCAGCAAGGACTCGAAGCCGGTTGTCTATTATTTCTAATATTCACGGGATTTTTCTGAACATACAAAACATACTTCTTTATGTATCAAGGAATAACTAATTCTTGGTCACCTTTATTTTCCTCTTATATGACACTATAATGATCCAGCAGTTAGATTTCAACCAATTTTTCATTCTTTTCTTTGAGTTACATATCATGGAAGTTATTTAGGTGTATTCTTCTATCTTCAGTTAAGTTAAGATTTTCCTAAACGAGTATTTCTATGATTTTGTATCTTGGATGGAGAACCATTTAACTTAATGTACAGTACAGCCTTAGTTTGACACCATACACACACACACACACACACACACTACCACTTACTACTCTGCTGTCACTCGGAATCAAGTATGACGATTATCCAGCTATGAGACAATGATATGAGATAATAAGGATGTCACCTTCTGTGGTGACTAAAGAAGCCGATACGGGACCGGCATAGTCGTTCACAAATGTTGCACATGTGGATGGCTACATCTGGTGAGGAAGTGAAGGGGGCAGCGCCTTTCCGGAATTGGCGCTTGTCTGCCTCGATTTGCAGTCGGGCTAATCACCAAGTATTGACATCTTCCTGTGTGGTGCTTCTCCAAGCGTTACGGTATGCAGTAATCATGCTCCAGGTGAGGGGGTCGATTTGTCACTTCTTCAGGTTTGTCTTATGAGTAGCCTTATGCGTTTTCAATTGCCTGCCAGCATTACATTTAATATTCGTTAGGTAACTGTAAAGTAGCTGCTTTGGCAGTCTACTGTCGTCCATCCAGGTAACATGTCCAGCCCAACAAAGTTGTTCATGGATAATGGTATCCTCGATGCTCCTACAGTTGGTATCACCGAGAATACTGTCATTTGCTCTCTTGTCTTCCCAGCGAACTCGGAGGATGGGGCGTTGACTACGTTGGTGAAAGTTTTCAAGTGTCTTGAGGTGCCTCCAGTAACCTAACCTAACCTAATCTAATCTAACCCATGTCTCGCTGCCATATTGTAAAGGCCTAGGACTTTGGGATATGAATCCTTGCCAACCTAATCAGGATCTTATAAAAGGAAAGTCAAGAACCATGTTTTTTTGAGGGATAACAAAGAACCGTTCGAGATTGACATCTCTATACAATGAAAATAACACAAAACTCTGACACCACTCACACAAATATTTCCTATGGCGGCGGCCCTGTAGAATTGTAAAAGTTTAGCCAGAAAAATACAGATACAGAGTGGATAATAATAACAAGCTTCCTCACTTGGCGCCGGCAGGCGATGTCTTGCTACACAGGAGAGATGCCAGGTGCACTGACGGTGTGGAGGAAGTGGCGATGACGTGGCAGCCGCGGTAGTAGCTGGGGTAAGTGTCCGGAGATTGACGGACGATTTGTGAAGGTATGGGGAAACAGCCCACGAGTCCTGAACCTCAGATGAGAATATAACCAGAATTTGAATTAACAGCGGGGTGCAAGTACAGCTGTAATGAAGGCTAGGTAGTGTCTGCTGTATCACGAGGCAGCAGTGACCTTCTCACCTCCGTCTATCCCCCTAAGTGGGGGACGCAAACAAGAAAACGAGAGGCTGGCAACCATCCTGCTCGTTACAGCCCTGGCACAGCTCCACCAACAAAAATCTACTGTAAGGTAGATTACAACTTAAGATTAGTACAACAAAACATAATCACCCCTACAACAAATGTTTAAATATACAGAGGAAAATAAAGAATAGTCATATTAAAAAGAATAAGTGGTAACTTGATGTCCAAATATCATAAGGCTGTATCAAGGAACTGCACGTGGAATCCTCTTCAGTCCAGGTTTAAGTTTGGGCCTATTGCCAGTCATAGAGGATTCTTCTATCCCGTCCGGTGTTATCGGTAACTGGCAACCGAGATCATCCGGGTCTGGCGCCTGAACTTCACAGGAACTCTTGCAGGGTAGTGCCTCAACTGACTCTAGCTTGGGAACGTCGTCAAGAACACGAGCAATGTGGGCCCTGCAATTATATTTCCTTAACAAATTAGCTTGATATAATTTAGGCTTCTTAGAGGAAAGGGGTGAGAATGGTCCAACAAAATCTATGGCTACCCGTGAAAATGGTTCTGTAATAATGGGTAAGGGTTTAAGTGGATCAGGACGGACTCTATCCTTGGCGGACATACGTGGGTACTGATCACAACTCCTACAAAAGGCTCTAATATCCGCTCCCATACTTGGCCAGTAAAACTGATCAGCAACCTTCATATAAGTCTTTCTATGCGAACAGTGTCTTGCTAGAGGGCTCTGGTGAGCTACACTGAGAATGTTGCTAAGACAATCAGCAGGGACAACAAGTAAAAACCGACCTACTTTGGCTAGCTGCTTGGATGACACACAAGTGCCTATATAACAGACCATTAATGCAAACAAACTTGTAAACAGACCCATCTCTAACCTGATCCTCTTCCCTGGAAGTCACCTTCTCTCTTACTCGCGTCAGAGTAGTACACGAGGCTTGAAGCTTGGCAAACTCCTTGGGCGTCACAGTAAGGGCAACAATTTCGGCAGAATCAGGGGATGCAGTCGTTTCACCTTTGCAGACCGTGTCTCCACAGCTTCGACCTTTGCTGGAGGCGAGGTGACGTGTGAGTGTGGCGAGGCGTCGTCGGCAGGTAGCGTAGCGACGTCGTTAGGTGGCGAGGAGACTGGCGCTGGTGGCAAGGAGACTGGCGCTGGAGGCGAGGAGACTGGCGCTGGTGGCGAGGAGACTGGCGCTGATGGCGAGGAGAATGGCACTGGTGGCGAGGAAACCTGCGCTGGTGGCGAGGAGAGTTTTAGAGGTTCCGGATCGTTAGGGTCACCAACTCCGGGAATATTACCAATGAGGGCACAAGCGAATCTAGTGGGCGCTCTTACCACATTAGACCAACCAATGAAATAAGGACAAAACAGGTAGCACCGAACAACAGGGAACTGGTCAACACGGCCTAAATAATCGGCGACACTAACCTTCGAGCAGCTGGAGACGTCAGCGTCAGGCAGGGCTTCCTCAGAAACAATAATGCACGAGCAACCCGTGTTCCTGATGAAAGTAGATGCCCAAGACCCATTTATTGTTCCGCTGACACAATAACGGGGACAGCTCCTGTCTTCAAAACAGAATCCGACCTTGTAGCTGGGCTGATGAATGTCAGAAGATTTGAAAGCGCGGGGATTCCTGGGACAGCGAGAACGAATGTGCCCTTCCTCTCCGCAGCTGTTGCACCGCACGGCCGGTGAACTACTCTTCTCTACTCCTGTGAATGGTTCCTTGGAGGACTGAGGCTTCGTGTTCTTCATTGCAGGAGGGGGGAGACTTGGGGTAGGCGTTGCGAGCAGACGCCCAGTTGTCAGCAAGTTCTACAGCTTCTCCTAGCGTCGCTGGCTGGGGTGTTCCTTGATGAAAATTCTCATGTCTGGGGGTAGAGAAGACAAAAACTGATGCAATATCATGAAGTTAGGGAGAGACTCAAAGGTTTCCTCAACCTCTAACGTCTCTAGCCATTGCTGAAATAAGCGACCCAGGTGGATCGAAAACTGCTGGTATGTTTCCCTGCTCTAATCTTCGTTCTGCGGAGATCAACACGATAACCATCAGAGAGCTTGCTTCAACGAAGAGTAATCTCTAGTGATGTCAGCAGACAGGGACGTAAAAATCTGTACCGGTTAACCATTCAGTAGGCTACCCAACCTTACAGCATAGCTATCTTGGTCCACACCAAGCAGCTCGGCAACCCGTTCAAACCTAGCAAGGTAGGAGGCGATGTCTTCTCCTTCACGATAAACAAGCAGACTAGGTTTTACAACATTGTTTTGTATATGGCCAGAGGATTCTGGTCTACTTGGAGCATTAATCCTAGCTAGTTATTTGTCCCTTTCTGTCTGCAACTTAGCAATTTCTATGTCCTTTTCTGTCTGCAACTTAGCTAGTTCTCTCTCTCTCTCTCTCTCTCTCTCTCTCTGCTACGTTCTGATCTCTCTTCTACGTTCCTCTCTCTCTCTCTCTGCTACGTTCCTCTCTCTCCCTCTCTCTGCTACGTTCCTCTCTCTCTGTTACGTGCCTCTCTCTCTCTGTTGCGTTCATCCCTCTCGGCAGTCTGTTGGGTGACCACATACTGACCAACCTGTCAGACCCAGGGTCACCGCTTGACCTTTCAACTCCTCAAAACTAGACATAATGATACAAAAGGCCAAGAGCCAAAGTGACGAATTAAACAACTTAACCCGCAACTAGCCAAAAGTAACTACTTAGTGGCTCATTCAAACCAATAAATGATTTGATCAGGCTGGAGGAAACCTTGTTTCGTACCCAGTCCCGTTAAATCACCTCAGGGAAAAGAAACTGCACCAGGTGAATCAACAATAAAATGCTATTGACAGCATCAACAGTGCACCCCAACCAACACTAATTAACTTCCCTAGTACAAGGGAGAGCAACAGAATTAGCACAACAGAAGGAAGGGATAAGCTCAGAAAAACACTTACTTCCGGGCATCAGACAGCAAGCGGCGTGCTCACCGCAACTTACAGCAAACACCAGAACGAATGTTAGCCCTAGAAACCAAGGTTAGAGACAATCCTGGCAAAGTCGCCACGTGTAAAGGCCTGGGACTTATGGATATGAATCCCTTGCCAGCCTAATCAGGATCTTATAAAAGAATAGTCAAGAACCATGGTTTTCCAAGGGGTACAAACAACCGTTCGAGATTGACATCTCTTTACTATGAAAATAACACAAAACTCTTGACACCACTCACACAAATATCAAATAACAATTACGGGGGTCAACAATTAAAGGAGTCAAACAATTAGGGGAGTCAGTCAAACAATTAATGGAGTCAAACAATAAAGGGAGTCAAACAATTAATGGAATCAAACAGTTAAGGGAGTCAAAAGATTAAGGGAGTCAAACAATTAATGGAATTAAACAATTAACGGAGTCAAACAATTATGGGAGTCAAACAATTAATGGAATCAAACAATTAAGGGAGTCAAACAATTAATGGAATCAAACAATTAAGGGAGTCAAACAATTAATGGAATCAAACAATTACGAGAGTCAAACAATTAAGGGAGTCAAACAATTAATGGAATCAAACAATTAAGGGAGTCAAACAATTAAGGGAGTCAAACAATTACGAGAGTCAAACAATTAATGGAGTCAAACAATTAAGGGAGTCAAACAATTACGAGAGTCAAACAATTAATAGAGTCAAACAATTAAGGGAGTCAAAAGATTAAGGAGTCAAAACAATTAAGGGAGTCAAACAATTAATGGAATCAAACAATTAAGGGAGTCAAACAATTAATGGAATCAAACAATTACGAGAGTCAAACAATTAAGGGAGTCAAACAATTAATGGAATCAAACAATTAAGGGAGTCAAACAATTAAGGGAGTCAAACAATTACGAGAGTCAAACAATTAATGGAGTCAAACAATTAAGGGAGTCAAACAATTACGAGAGTCAAACAATTAATAGAGTCAAACAATTAAGGGAGTCAAAAGATTAAGGGAGTCAAACAATTAAGGGAGTCAAACAATTAAGGGAGTCAAACAATTACGAGAGTCAAACAATTACGAGAGTCAAACAATTAATGGAGTCAAACAATTAAGGGAGTCAAACAATTAATGGAGTCAAACAATTAAGGGAGTCAAAAGATTAAGGGAGTCAAACAATTAATGGAATTAAACAATTAACGGAGTCAAACAATTATGGGAGCCAAACAATTAATAGAATCAAACAATGAACAGATATTTCCTACGGCGGCGGCCCTGTGGAAGGTTCTGGAAAGCAGTGATCCGCTCTCAGGGGGAAGGTCAAGTCAGCTTCCTCACTTGGCGCCGGCGGGCGATGTCTTGCTACACAGGAGAGATGCCAAGTGCATGGAAGGTGTCGAGGAAGTGACGATGACATGGCAGCCGCGGTAGTAGCTGGGGTACGTGTCCGGAGATTGACAGACGATTTGTGAAGGTCTGGGGAAACAACCCACGAGTCCTGATCCTCAGATGAGAACACAACCAGAATTTGAAAAAAACAGCAGCGTGCAAGTACAGCTCTGATGTCGGCTGGGTAGTGTCTGCTGTGTTACGAGGCAGCAGCAACTTTCTCACCTTCACCAATCCACCCCCTCCCCCCCTCCAAGTGGGGGACGCGAACAAGAAAACGAGCGGTGGGCAACCATCCTGCTCGTTACACCCCTTATACATATAGCAGGGTGGAGAAGACCACTGCACGATATACATGCAACTTTGAACATAATTTTAACTCCCTACAGATGAAGACACGGATAAGGAGTCTGCCAAAGGCTTGATATGCACATCTGATCCGATGTTGAATTTCTTCATCCATGTCTGTGGTGGTGGACAGGTGGGAGAGGAGATACCGAAAGTGGGTAATAATAGAGAGAGTAGTATCGTTGTGCTGGATGGATGGTGGAGGTGTGGCTGAACCAGGGGCAGGCTGGAAAAATCTGAGTCTTACGTTCATTTCACCTCAAGGCCGAAGTGTGCATTGTTACGACCCTGTCGTATTTTCTATTTTTTTTTTATAACATGCTTCAATGTTGTTCCTTATTATTCATGTAATGATGTTTTATATTTACTATTATATATTCTAGTCACCTTAACCTGTGCTGTTAAGGTTTTAACTGTCATTATTTGTTCAAGCCCATCTTATTTCTTCATTTAGTATTGTAACAAGCATTCTTTGTTTCTCTAACGACCATCTGCATTGTTAAACGAGCCATGTTTCACCGGCGTGTCGCACTGGCGAGAGCCGACCTTATATATAGTACCCACCAGCAGACGGAGTTTAGTCCAGTCCTCCTGTCATTCAGTCCACGTTCTTTTGAGTGACACCCGTCACCTGTTACTTATACTTTATTTTATTTCTGTGTTGTTCCTGTCGCCACCAATGTGGTATATCTATGTGAGTACCTATTTATGTCTCTTATGTGTCCATTAGTGCTTGCTTAGTTACATTTAAGTAATTCAGTGTTTTCACGATAGTTAATTTCAGTGTTAGTTATTTTATATGTTTATGCAGTGCTAACGTAATCCAGTGCTTTATTTGTACTCTATATGTTTAAGCAGTTCTTTTGATGTTTCGATGTTTTAGTATCATTTGTGTCTTTAAAGTTTCGATAGTGAATCAATTTGTTGTGACAGCCTACGAGGCTCTTTATTGTGTTAGTATTTAATTTAATTAAATTCTTAAAGGTTTACTTTATTTATTTTTATTCCCTTTTGATTTACTTCACTTTTTTTTTTGGTTACGCCTAGAACCTGGATATTAAAGTAAATTAAGAGACGGCGTAACAGCATACACATCTGAATAAGTGTTCAGGATCTCCTGTAGGCCGCATTCAGTGTGTACAACAAGGGTGAGGTCATCCGCACACTGAAGTTCAGTAATGGAAGTTACCGACTTTTGTTCCTGGCTGGAGTGGTCTTATGTTGTAAAGATCCTTCATCCGGTATTCGATGTTCACCTTGCCGGTTAAATTGGCACTGGCACGAGTAAGGAAGGCAGCCATGAAAATGGAAAAGAGACTTGGTGCCAGTACACATCCTTGTCTTATCCTTTTTTTGGATGGCGAAGAACTCAGACTGGGTGTCATAGTGCAGGTACAGTGCTGTTCATGCCATTGTAAAGTTGCCTTACAATGGCGATGAATTTTTGTGGGCAGACAAAACGGCTTCTCTGTTTACCGTATCGAAGGCCTTGGTTAGTTCGATGAAGGTCATGAATAGCTTACGACGCTGTTCTCTGCCCTTTTCCTCTATCTTGGGGGCAGCAAAGATTATGTCAGTGGTGCCAAGTGTTGGCCTAAAGTCACATTGAGATTCTGGGAGGAAGTTTTCCGCCTCAAGAAGTAGTCTGTTTTGGAGGACTCAGGC